ATAAATATTTCTTAAAATTCTCTATTCACTTACAGTAGTAAGGAATTTTCAATTTAAGACCATGATTTGTGAATCCATAAAATCTTTTTTTAAAAACAAAGCAGAAAATTTGTTATTTATAAGCCCTGAAAGTATATCGTAAAGAATAATATTCTTACCTGATACTTTTGACTGTTGGCTTGCATAACTAGAAGTCCTAGAATGTCCACATGCTCCAAGTTCATCTGGGGCTGAGATGCTCTTGTTTGTAAAATCTATTGGAAAAAAAAAGTCAGATTGAATAGCACTGCTGTTGGATTATTTAATCAGTAATTTGCTGAATTGATCTGTAATATTATACCTTTGCATTATATATGAGGAATTAGTGTGCAGATAACATTAGGAAATAATGGTAAGTAGCTATGTTAACTCACTTACTTCTCTAATAATTATCTGTCTTGCTACAAGGAAACTTGATTCCTACATTAAAAATCCTGTATTCTGTCTTTGTTTAGCTTTCATCATTTAAAAATTTATATTGAAAAATATCCATCACATCTGTTATCGCTACAGGGGACTAAAAACAACTGTAATTTGTAATCCATTAATGATGGATATTAGTAAATGATGTTGGTCACCTACGTATATATCTTCACATTCTTTTTTTAAAAAGGCATTCCAACACTTGAATAAATGCTGGTAACTAAGAAATGAGCTACACATTGTAGAAGAGCAATAAGAAAAATTGTTTGAAGATTAAACAAATTTGAAATGTAAAATACTACATGTTAGACCATTTCTCCATATTTAAAACAATCTGTAAATAATTAATAATGGAAGAAGGCATTCTTCAAAATAACATCCTAGCTTTCTTTAGTAATTTTTCACAAACCAGATAATCCTAAAATTCTATGCATCTTTTATGCTATGTACATTGAAATACCATAGGTGTCTGTCACAGGGCAAGGATAGGAAACTTGCATCATACATCATGGCATATAAATGTTGGGTGATTTCCACAATGATGTTATATATTATACTGTTGCTTATTCTAGATACCTACAGACAATACTTTATCTAAATAGACATATCATCCCTCATGCATGTTTCTTAGATACACCTGATTTGTTGATTTGTCATAGAGAAATTCAATTATTTGGAAAAAAAACTATGATGAAGTACAATCCATCGTCTTAAGAAGCCTAATACTAAGTAATTGAATCATTATTGATTTTCCTGTGGCTGATCGCCTTCCAGTTTCCTACCTGATACAGTCAAATGTGACCCTTTAGTATTCTCTGCACCTTTTCTGTCTTCATGCAGGGATTCTGATTCTCCAGCAATTGGTATAGACATTGCTGTAGATGGAGGGCTGCAATCAAAAAGGTTTGAGGTTGAAGGTTGTTGTGTGTGTGCTTATGTATGCATATACACTCACTCATACACATATACTTAAGGGCACAGGCTTTATGCTACAGTTCAGCAATAATTTTCAACTCTCCAGATATTTAATCTCTTACTCAGGACTTGGCTTGACTCAGCAGAAAAGTTGGCTAGATAATAGTGTAAACAAAAATGAAAATTTACACAATTGATCGCCCATTCTGGAGCAAAGAATTTAGAGCTTTTATATATTTGTGCTGCAGAGTGAAACTGCTTTTCCCCTCCTGTTTTTAAAATTAATGGCTACTTGGTAATTTCATTGATAGTCTTGGGTAGCTGACAATTGTTTATATAATAGTTCCTCGTAGTCTGAGGACTGCTGGCTCACCATCTTCAACCATTAGAAAGGGAAACATGTAAGCATTCTAACACTACTGCAGAGAAGAAGGATAATTTGTAAATACTAATTCTGGGCGATGCTAGGACTGAGGAAAAACAATTGGGAAAAATTATAAAATATTAGGACTTGCAGATTGAAGATGGATGCTTATGAGAAAAGAAATCTATTATTATACCAATCATGATTTGAGCCCTAGAATGATACCTAAAGAACTTTCTCAGTAGCTGGAAATATTAAATTTATCAAAACAGGACACCACGATTTTACAAAAAAAAACCCAAACCCTCCACTCTGCTTGGAACTGCCTATATTCTTTTAATTCTTAATAATTCTTAAGTCCTTGGTTAGGATTTGAATTATTAAGTTTCCACCAGTCTTAGACTATAGATTATCCACACATAATTATAACAACTCCTCTGTCAACAAGTCAGCATCTGTCAAGAAGTGGGCAAGGGACTCAGGAGCTGTGGCTGGGCAAGCAGAGCCCAGTCCTGGAAGCTTACTGGAAGAACAACTACCACAGATAAGACAAAAAAAAATGTGCTGGAAAACCATACCATTATGGCCTGCTAATATGAATCAGAACCAACAGTGCAGGGCTAGTTAAAGCAAATATTTCAACATAGGAAAATAATTTATCCAGACTCAAACACCACTGAATAACAACTAGCAGATCAAAGGAGGTTCATTACCAGCAATAAAATATTCAGGGAAACAGAACTGGAAGAGATTCGGAAAAATTGTGAATATGAAAGACTCAAAACCAACTGTAGAAGAAACTCAAATAATAGCAACTGGGAATATAAAGGAAGTGAGCTGGGTGAACTAGAGATAACTTAGAAATAATAACAACGGAACCAGTACAGGCTAGCACTGAAGCGACTTATGAACTGACTCCCTGACAAGAAGAATTAAAAGAGAAAATCATGGCAGATGTAGAATTACCAGCAGAAGGACAGAGACTGCCAGCACTGAAATTAGTGCCCCCAAAAGATCTGAACCTATAATGAAAGACGTGAATAAGTTGCTTGCAAGGATTAAAATAACATCTATCGAACAGATGCTTAAAGGTCAGAGAAAGAAACTTAGGAAGAACCAGCCCTAATTGATCAGGCGATAGAAATAAACAATGGGAAATTGGTACTTGCAGATTTGCAAGTTTCTGTTACTATAGCCTTACAATAAAGTAAAATTGGCTCATCTGATCATGTTTCCTTCCTGGCTTATCAAGGAGGGCTGTCAAAAACACATTGAACCACTCCAGTGAGCAATGAACAAGCATACCATCTCCTTCTCCCAGAGTCCTGATGGGGTATGACACTTTAGCTTGTAGACTTTATGGCTTTGTCTACAATTTTTGCAAGCCAATCCTATTTTATTTCTGTTTTTTTTTTCACTTAGAAGGGAAAGCTGATATTAGTCCATCTAGCGTTTATGATTGGTTGAAATACCATCTGGAGCAAGCCGTCCTCAATTTTTCTACCATTATTTGACAGGCAAGGTTCTTTTTTTTTTAAGCCTTGGAGCAAAGATCCACTGTTGTTTTGAAGAACACAAATCTTCCTGGCACGCAACTGCCAGATAAAGCTGAAATTTCTACTCTCCAAGCCCTCCTGCATGCTACACCCAAATCCAGCTCCACTGAAAAAAAATTGGAGCTATGTTAATAAGGATAAACATGAAATTCCAAAATGTAATGTATATCAAGTATCTAATGCAGTCTAAGTTATTTTTTTTTTTACTATTATGAAGAAATGAAGATGCCCTACCCTGCTGGAAAATAACAGTTGGGTTTATTATACTACATCTGAATGACACATCAAAGTAACACTAAATAATCAGAAAGACTCAAAATAATGTTTCAGAAGAAAATACAAGTAGCACTCAATACAAATGATATTTATAGATGACTCAGATTAAATGCAGAACCAAACAAGCCTGACTACTATTGTTGTTTACTGTGATTCTGGGCAAGAAAGAAAAAAAAATGCTATTATGGCATTTCAAACACTAACAAGCTTGTATCAATTATTTCAGGTACTCATAACATTCTTATCTGAATTTTACACTGTTATTTAAATCTATGCAGTTTAAAACAATTAACTGCAAATTAAGAATGTATGCTGTTTTATAGTTCTGCACATTTCTTTTTGCGCTGCCTACAAGTAAATTATAACATGGCTAATGGAAAAGAAAATCTTCCCAGCTGCACTGCTACAATTAGATCACTCATTGAGCTACAGTACATGACTCATTGCAAAAGACCTTGTTAGTCTAGAAGTTCATCCCAATCGTATTTTTTTTCCTTCCTGGTACAATGTATGTATACAACTTTCTGGAATAGCACATATCCAAAAGGTTCTTATGGATGAGAAGTCAAACCACAAAAACCACTATCTCTAATATCCAACATACAGTAGGTCATTGCAAGGCACACATCTGTATTACTAATTGAATATGTTATTGTTAATAAAGTTAAAATACACAATCCTAGGAAATACAGACAAGGTTGTGACTAAGAGGAAAGGATCCTTCAACGTTGTTCCTTAACTTCAGACAAGAATATTGTTGATACGATAAAAGCCCACATGCAATTTATGCAGACTAACATAAGCCAATTGTCATAGTTTTTGAGACAGACTGAATAGCAGCACATAACTAGCATTTCACACAATCATTCCCCAGCATCTAGTAGACAAACTGGGCCCTTTATGCTTAAACACTCCTTTGTGCAACTGGATTCTTGATTTTCTTACAAACAGGCCCCAGTATGTGCGAGCTGGAACAAATATTTCTAACACCTTTTTCTTGAGCACAGGTTCTCCTCAGGGCTGCATCCTAAGTCTGCTGTTGTTCACCCTGTTGACTCATGACTATTGTGCTAGGTTTGCCACCAACCATATTGTGAAGTTTGCGGATGATACAACAGTAGTCGGCCTTATTCAAGATGACAATGAGGGTGCTTACAGCAAGGAGGTTGAGAGTTTGGTGAACTGGTGTAGGGGGAACAGCCTAGTTTTAAACATTGGAAAAACTAAAGATCATTGTCGATTTCAGAAAAGGCAAGCACAGCCACACTCCTCTATGCATTAATGATTCACCAGTTGAGATGGTTACCAGCATGAAATTCCTGGGTGTGCAGTTAATAAGTAGGCTGGCTTGGTCGCTCAACAGTGAGACCCTGGTGAAGCAGGCACAGCAGCGCCTACCATTTTCTGCGTCGCATGAGAAAAGCACATCTTCCTTCCCCTGTTCTTATCACTTTCTACAGAGAGACAATCGAGAACATCCTGTCATACAGCATCACAGTCTGGTTTGGAAGCATCACTGCTTCAGACAGGAATGCGGTGCAGAGAATGGTGAGGATGGCTGAAAAGATTATTGGAAGTTCCCTCCCTTCCATCCAGGACATAGCATAGAAGCATTGCTTGAGCAGGGTCCGCAAGATTGTCTGGGACGCTACATATCCTCTTCATGACCTGTTTTCCTTGTTACCTGTGAAGAAGCTCCGTGGCATCCGAAGCAGAACATCCAGATTCAATCACAGTTTTGTTCCATACAGTATTAACTTTGTGAAGCCTTGTGAAGCAGGAAGCTTCCTCCTGCCGTTATATATTTAAGATGGACAGTGATTAATATTTATATGTTACTTATATGTAAGGGTGTAGGTCTATACATATGTTGTATATAGTATGTTTAAATGTGTGTTATGTATGTGTACACTTTGAGAGCAAGCGCCTAAATTTCACTTTTAACGTGTGCCATTGTGCCCACGGTGAAAAATGACAATAAAGGTTATCTATCTATCTATACCAGTGATGGCGAACCTTTTAGAGATAGAGTGCCCAAACTGCAACCCAAAACCCACTTATGTCGGGTGCCGGGTGGGTGTGGCCCATTGGGTGGGCATGGCCCATTGGGTGGGCGTGGCTGCAGTGGTAACGGCAGACTGGGTGGGACTAAAAAGTTCAATTAATCTATTCCAACTTTGCGAGATTTTTTTTTTTTCCCCGTGAGAAGTTGAAATTGATTGATTGATTGAACCTTTTTTTTTTTTGCACACGGCGGTGGAAGCCTAAAGCGAAAAGGATTTTAAAAAACCCAGCTGAAGCCCTAGGACTGGGGCGACGGCGCACGTGCCCACAGAGAGGGCTCTGCGTGCCACTTGTGGCACGCTTGCCATAGGTTCGCCACCACGGATTTATACTTATATTTTAGTCTGCCCATCACTACAGAAGACAGGAACTGAAGGGCCAGAGAGACTCATTTCCTTTGGATTAGACTCACATAATTTAAGACAAACATTTGCAATTTTAGCACTAAATTATTCTCTTAATACAGATCTGATACGCTGGATAGATGAGAAATTCATCTAACTAACCAGCAATAACATAAATATCTCCTTGTTCTATGACATACAACCACTCAAATAGTATGTCAAAATTACAGATTTTTCCAAGATCAAGGTGGTACTGTGGTATCGAGAGATATACTGAGCTTGAGGATGCACTCCAAAAAGTCATAGTGCAGAAACAAACAACAAGGTTTCACTTCATTTGCTTATATGCCTTAGTTAATACGCTTACCTTGCAGTGTACATAATGCCTACCGATAAGGAAGAATAGGGTTAGGGTTAATCTAACTGCCTTGGGTGACTGAAATGTGGCTTTAAGCAGAATCTAGTTTTAATAGAATGACAACAGAGAGTGCAAATGAAGATTGCTGCAATTGCACAGCAAGTCCCCTGCTCATGTAGGATAGTATGGAATTAGATTACTAAAACTAGTATTTTATATTTTTAAACATTTTAGATAGGTAGCAAGATACGTATGCGGGCACACCGATTCATAAATATTGAAAACTAGTATGGTGTAGAGGTGAATGAGCTGGTTTGGGGCCTAGAAGCAGGGAGAACCAGCTTATACTCCTCCCTTAGGCTTGGAAGGGAGTTAGGTCAGGGGTAGGCAACCTGGGCTCTTTTATGACTTGTGGACTTCAACTCCCAGAATTCCTCAGCCAGCAAAGCCTACCCCTGACTTAGGTGATCCTGGGCCACTCAATCCTTCTCAACTGTAATCAGCACCAGTTCAGCAAACAGCCAGTTAGAAAGTAAAACTCCACATTGCATCATGTGTTGATAGAGTCGCTATAAAGACTATAGCAAAAGCAGTGCGTAACACGCAGACTCTGCAACCAAGTGGGACAAACACCAAGAACAATATGTATGTAAATTTAAACTTACGTTTTAAAGCAAGGGTCTCCAGACATTAGCTGCATGCTGATTAAAATCTATAAATCAGTAAGAATGACATTTTTTAAAAAATGAAATCAAACTGCAATTCCAAAAACATGGAAAGAAAAAGTGAATTATATTCTATCAAGCGAACTATCAAACTACCAAAAATGGATTATAGCTACAGCATATAGATTAGAACCTCTTATGAAAATCAATTACAAAGGCCTAATTGAATACCAATTTCAAAACCAAATTCATTAACAAAGATTGTTATCAAAACCACCTCAGATGAAAAAAACAAATTGTATAACTTCACTAAGGATTTTACTTCTTCTGTGTTCATTATACCACCAGACATAACTAATGACAAAATAAAAAAATGTATACAGGCAAACTAGAGTGCTATTTATACAATATCCCTAAAACAACCATAATAATTTAAGAACTTTCTTCTGATGGGTTTTCATTTGTTTATAATTTTTCATCAGATATCCTATTAAAACAAACTAATTCCTTTAGGTCTCATTTATTGTACTGTGATCATGAATGGGGATGGAGGGAGAAGAGGAAGAGGAAATATGAAATAATGGATGGTTACTGTACTTTGTTTTCCTATTAGCAATTAGCAAAAAGCTACTTCTAAAAAACAAAATGGAATGGAAAAAAAATCTCCACATCATTACTTTGAGAATTGAATTGTCCTGCCTTGTGTTTTTGGTATCATAACCTTCCAGTAAGCAGCGGCGAGTCGTATTTCCCGATCCAGCAAACTCTGCCAGGTTAAGATCCGCAAAACCCAACTATTGACAAAAGAATGAAGTTAGTAATCACAGAACAAAAAAAGAAATAAACAAATTTAGGCTTTGTAGTATGCCTTATCTTTGTGCTACATAACGATGTTTTATAATGCCTGATATCATTCAAAACAATAAGAATATACTGCAATATATTCTACACACAGATATGAAAAGGAAACAAAAAGAGGCATTGGATTACACAGTGTTATCTTTTTACCTTTGCATAAGTCTTCCCTCCTTTTAATTCCTGCAACAAATAAATAGTTGTAGTCAAAAAAACCCAAATCAAATGAAGTTATATGGATTCTTTATAAGGAAGCATAGCAAACAACTTCATACAATTAGTAGTACTCTTTGTAAAATTTGGATGTTACGATTGTTATCAAAGGGAGCTGCTAATGTTTATTCTTCTAGGTCTGGATGAGGCAGAATAAAAATAAGGAAAAGAAACAGTAGACTACCAGCTCTTTATCTTTTCCTTATTTATTTTGAGTCTGAATCTCAAGGACCTATAGAATCTGCAATGTTTAAATGCAGTATTGGAAGCTACCTCTGCCCACAGCAGAAGTTCGATCCTGACCAGTTTGAGGTTGATTTAGCCTTCCATCCTTCTGAGGTTGGTAAAATGAGGACCCAGATTAAGGCAATAAACTGACTGTAAACCGCTTAGAAAGTGCTGAAAAGCATTATGAAGCGATATATAAGACTACATGCTATTGTTATTGCTATCTTAAAGAATGTTTCCACTTTTGAGATAATAAAGAAAATAATATGGATGTGTGTGTGTGTGTGTGTGTGTGTGTGTATAATCACAAATCTAGATCTAGCTGCACTATCTTAATCCAACCTTCTTCAATTTAGGGTCTTCTACATATGCTGGATTTCAAGAATATTGGGCCAGCATACATAGTCTATACTATACACTAGTCTAGTATGTGTATGTAAAACATCTTTTTATAAATCAGTAAGAGATTAGAAAATAGCTAGAGCAGAATATGCTCAGGAAAATCTAATTTGAAATAACAAAATGAATAAATATATAAACTTATAACTTAAATGGGAACAGATACTAAAACAATGTATAATTTACAGAGACACAACTACAATGCAAATGTAAGTATGACACCCATTTATACCTTTCGTACAGAGACTCTGCAGATGCAGGGATCCAGAATCCCTGTAGTGGCACTTGCACTTATTTTACATATAAATGAAAACCTTTTCTTCCAATGAACACAGTTTGCTTGCACCACTTCTCTGTAAATAGAAAAAAAATACAAGATAATTAGACACTGATAACACAAGATTTAATTGTTATTTTCAGAAAATAAATCCTACACATCTTAAGACATCATAGGTCAATTTCCTCCTACGTGATTAGTATCTTCATTTCAATGTTAATAGCCGTGTGGGATTATTTACTGCTGGTAAAATGTATTCAATACTGCTTTTTAAATATTTTTACTATTTTTATTATTAAACCAGAGATTAGGATGATGCATGCAGTATTTGCAGAAATATGTGTAAATAGGTAAGATTGGTTCTGCCTTCATATGGAAAGATAATTTACTTACTACAAGGAAATTAATCATGGAGTCACACTTCCTACTTTCCTTGTACGTAATAATTTATGAGCCTGATTTTCAGCAAATATGACTTTGGGACTATATCTAAATGGAAATTAATGCACTTTCTAGTACTGCATTTGGTATATATAGTATCTAAGATGCGTTGATATTAAAAAGTAAAGACAAAGAATAAATTGGACGGCTTAGATGAGAGGAAAGGATTGCCAGAACAAACAATTTCTTTCATCAATCTGCAATCTTATTTTAACACAGAGCATTGTTGACCTTTAACTACATAACTTTAAATTAGATAAAACAGGTAACAATATTGAAAGTTGAAATTGTATACCTCTGGCATTTGCCTCTGCACAAAATACAGTTGCCAATACATTAACTTTGACTTTTTCAAATGCTCTTAATGTACATTAAAGTTAAACCAAACATGTCTGTGTGCGATCTCTTGATATTTTTAAAAAAAATATTTTACTAAATGCAGGAATCCGACTGCAGAGATGGGATGAGGTGCTTAATTTCTTCCCATGTGATTTTTCTGATCAGAATTGACCATCCTATCTGGTTTTTTCAACATGCCATCCATTCATTACAGGTAGTCCTTGCCTTACGACCACAATTAAGCCCAATATTTCTGTTGCTAAGTGAGACAGTCGTTAAGTGAGTTTTGCCCCATTTTACAATCTTTCTTGCCATAGTTGTTAAGTGAATCACTGCAGTTGTTAAGTTAATAACACAATTGTTAAGCTTTCCCACACTGACTTTGCTTGCAGATGGTCACAAATGGTTTATCACATTACCCAGGGATACTGCAATGGTCATAAATATAATATGAGTCAGTTGCCAAACTTCTGAATTTTGATCACGACCACAGGGATGATGCAATGGTCATAAGTGTGAAAAATGGTCATAAGTCACTTTTTTCAGTGCCATCGTAACTTTGAACAGTCTCTAGTAAGCCGAGGACTACCTATATTTCACTGTGATGAATAGTTACCATTCAGTTCACGTGCAAATGTTTTTAAAATGAGAAGTAGGAAAATATTCTACTGGAGAATGCACTGCATTTCAAATAACTAAAAGTGCCAAGCATTATTCTGAGCAATATTATCACATACTTCCATCCAATTTGCCTAAAATTTGATGGATGTGGAATAAGAAATATTATTTACAATATTAAGAAAGCCGCTCAGAATTTTATACAAGCATAAAACATTCAGAGCATCCTTTCCATTTCTGTAATGGAGGGGAGAGTTGTTAATTAGGTTCTGAATACCCAGATTATGAATAATTTATTCCATCTTGAATTTCCTGGTGACCGCTCAAGTGCATTAATTTGTGTAGAGAATACATCCACTCACAGACCAAAACCTTTTTACTGAGAGAGAATAAAATAACATCTGTGGATATCCAACTGAGATTTTTAAAATAGCAACAACAACAACAACAACAATAGCACCCCTCTACCTGGCTTTTGGCAGCCAGTTATTAACAATCTGATGTAATGTGGTTCCTGAGATGTAAATTATAGCAAGCCACAGTTTCTGCAGTAACAAATGTGACAATCAATACTGAGATCAAGGAAAAAAGCTTTCATAGCACAAATAATGCTTTGGTAAATCAGGAAACAGTGCAGTGGAAAAACTAACTTGATTCCACTTAACAAAATAATGACCACAATTTAACTTCAGTTTTATTTTTATTTTATTTTTTAGAGGAGAAAAAAGTACAGAGAACACATTAACCGAGGAACAAGCTAGATTTAGAAGCAGCTGCTCTATTTTTGACTGTGCTCTTATTCAACATCTGATAGAAAAATACACTTCCAAATCATGTGTGAAGCTATATACAGCCTTTATAGATTTCTCTCTCAAACACAAAGTGGCTATTGTGAAGATTTTACTTTTGATTAGCCCATTGCTGTAGGCCAGCTATTCTCATGGTTTTAAGTGGCTTACAATATTATTTTTATCTGTGTATTTTGCTAGAATACACTTAACAACTTCCTTGCTTATCAATGGAAATTTTGGTCCCAATTTTGGTCATTAAGTCAAGCACTCTCTGTATTTAAAAACCCAACTGTCTTTTTATGCATGCATATGTAAAATATACATGTATAAAATACCACTGGGATTTAATGGGCACCACTTCTCGCATTAGTCTGTTAAATCATGGACTTACTGTACTATATATTAATTATGAATTGTAAAATAACTAGGGCATCACATTTCCCCCCACAAATATATCCCCAAAGTTCATATGTATCTATCCATTAAAATGTAATGTACAAGCAAAAACATCAGAGACAAGATTTAATGACTGCAAAAAACTTTGAAAGAATACTCACTACATTTAGGGGGGAAAAGAATCCACTCTCATATTTAGGCTAATTGAAAACATATTTTGAGTACAAACTTCACTTTTTGAGCATTCATTCATATTTAAAAGTATTATATAAGTTGTTTTACATTTAGTATATTCTAAAACTGTCCAATAAATCTGTTTTTACATTCATATTGATTGGTTACCCTAGCAATGAACTATAATGACAGTGTAGTGGCAACTGCGCTAAAGAACACGTTGATGAAAACATTCCACTGTGAGTCAACTTCCTTTGTACTAGAAATGCAATGTTTAATTCAGCACACACATCAGATAAACAGATTCCAATTTACAGATGTTGTTGCAGTTTCACAATCATTCTTCAAATTCATTTGTTGAGGGTTTTTCATCCTCCATGAGTTATTTATTGGGAAGAAGAAAAATGAGTCATCAGAATGAACTGGAACTTCCAAAGATGCCCAAAACTCAGCATGTGTTTTTGCTTCTTATTTCTAGCAGCAACTTTTTAAGGAGGATACACATAGCCTGCACAGCTACCCTCCACAACACAATCCAGAAAAAAGGTGTTATGCATGACTGCCTACAATCTGAAACCCATTTTTCCCTTTGAATCTGAAATGCTGCACAGACCTACTAGAACAGGGGTGTCAAACTCCCGGCCCGTGGGCCGGATGCGTCATGGCGAAACTGCACCCACCCCATTGCCAGCAATGGAAAAAAAGTCACGATACATCGCGACACGTCACGTGACATTGCGAGTTTGACACTCCTGTATTACAACTAGATATATACACATAGGTCCTAACTTATCAACCACAGTTGGGTCTGGCAACTCCATTGTTAAGCAAAGCGGGCATTAACTGAGACATCACATGATTGTGACTTGCTAGCTTCTCCAATGACTCTACTTGTTGGAAGCTGGCTATGAAGTATGCAACTGGTGATCATGTGACCATGGGATGCTATTATGACTGCAAAGGTCTGCTGGTTGCAAAATGCACAAATCTGTATTGTATGACAGCAGAGATGCTGCAACAGTTGTTAAATATGAGAATTGGTCATAAAGTTATTTTTCAGCACATTTGTAACTTCAAATGGTCACTAAATAGGGCAGTCACTAAGGACGATGACCTACAGTCTAGAGCAGAGGAGATTTATTAAGCTTCTGGTGGACAACTATATTCAATTAGTGAGTTGAATCTGACTTGAAATAACCATTCTTGTTTATTTTCAGTAGGCATTTGTCTATGACAAAGGGAAATCTACATTAGAATGTGTTTACACTATTTAATTTTTTTCAGTATTTATGCTGACTACTTGAAGCTTCATATTTAATGTTACAAATAGTATCACTTTCTACACTTTGGTTTGCTATCTCATTAAGGTAATTAGATGAGTCACCTTTTTACTGTTAGTTCACAGAGAAGAATTGGCATACTGTTTCTACTACCTTTATTTTATTTTTAGCCTTTTTAAAAATATTGCCGGTTAATGCAATGCCTGTTTTCAATGCAGATTCTGTGGTTGTGACTAGGAATATTTGATGAAAGGATGAGAATAAATATATGAAGCCTACTGTAAGCTGGAAATACACATCATCTATTTCCCTTAAACAAATGAATGCAATGGGTTTAAGACCAGGGGTGTCAAACTGCCGGCCCACGGTCCAGATGCATCATAACGAAACCAACAATGGCAAAAAAGTCACGATACGTCGCAACACATCACGTGACGTTGCGAGTCTGACACCCCTGATTTAGACCATTCTATGTCAACAGTCCATTCCGTGGCCAGCTGGATGCCTGTGGAATACGCTTGAGCTACGGTACATATGATTGCAATAATAGTCTCCTGCTTGCGTTCCCTGTAAGGCTGAAAATTTATTTTTTTAAATAAGTTTTATTAAAGATTATTTTGTATTGATCAGACTAATATAACTACATAATCATGGCTTCTGCTCAATAAACAGGTGTCAGGCAGGGCTAGGAGGGCCTTTGCATGGCTTTGTCTTGTGCTCCAGGTTTGGCAGATCCTACTTACAAGCACTTATGCCCTGGTCACCTCCAGACTGGACTACTGCAATGCATTCCACATGGGGCTGCTCTTAGAAGAGCATTCAGAAGCTTTAGCTGGGACAAGAATACAGTGGGGCATGGGCAAGTTATGTATAATCCTAAAGTAATCATTGTAACAACTCTGCTCTCAGAGGTGCATTGTTGCCGGTTTGCTTCCAGGTCCAATTCAATTTATCTTTTAAAATCTTTCACAGTATGGGACTAGGACATCTGAGGGACAGCCTCTTCCCATCTGCATCAATCTGCCCCATTAGATCTG